CCTTTAGAATAAAATCAAATTTGTGTAAAGAGGTGAAAATATAGCTGTGTGATTTTTGCATATCAATTAGTAAACCTAGTTCAATATATTACTTTAAGGTTCAACAAGCCCCCATAAAAGATGTTAAAGTCACCTTAAGATAACCCATTGCATGGTGAGTCATATTCGAAGACCCTGATCAAAATCGAAATATATTTATATACAAATCGAAGTTCGTACTTTACAACAAAATGCTAGTATAGAGTTATATGTAAAAATGCGTCATCAATTAATGTATCAATCAAAGCAATAGGTGGAAGCTGTAAGCCGCTTAGGTGTCATTGCATTACTACCTGGTATCCCTACATGCCGAGATATAGCGATCCAGCGTCATAGGATATGCCATTTGGATTTTTACTTATTCTCATATTCTTCAATGCCATATCTCTGTTAGAAATAGGAATCAGAATATACAGTTGCTTTTAATAAAACAACGAAAATGTAATCAATGTTGAAATTTATCAGCATTTTCTATGAAAAATGGATGGGCCAGACTCACCTTGTTTACTGGTCAACATTTCTTGAAAGGTGGACCTACATGTAGAAGCCAGGAAGGAACCACCGATGTAGGCGGAGTATTTCCTCTCTGGTAGAGAAATGACCTTAACTCCCATTGTGCTTTGTGCTAAGGCAGTGATTTCTTTCTGCAGACGGTCAGTGAAGCCTGGAAACACTGTATTACTACCGGAGAGAGAAAGTACTAGTAAGCTAAGCACAACACGATATAGATGAATATTATAAGGTAAATTAACAAATGCATTTCTGGTAAGCAGTCATACTTTTGTAGATTTTGGTTTATGAACTAATTGTGGTTTATATTTAGAGTTGTTACTATTCAAATATTGGAAGGGAGATAACACCAACACTCCTAGACCAAAATGTTTATTATGTTTGTTTGTGTTTGTTTGTTTGTTTATTTTGGGTTTAACATCCTCGCAACAGCCAGGGTGATATGAAGACGGGTTTTTAGGGAGACACCACCTCAAAAACAGAAAGTAGATAGAAAAGGAAGAAAACAGGAAAAATAAGAAACTAGATAGCATTAGTACCGTGGTAGAACGGGGTAAGTACACATAATGTAACTGCTAGGCCCCAAACTTACAGTAAGACAGGTCAACGAATTAATTTAAAAGATTTGCAAGACTATAGAAGATATTGCAACCTCAAAAATATTTATTAATTGATACCGGTCTTACTGGCCTTAGTCAACTCACTCAGACGATTTTAATAAACAGCTTAGATTAATGTAATCTTTTCCGCAGTATCTTTCTCTTCGAGAAGTCATACAAAAATATACGTACATTAGTTTAATAAAACAAAATAATAGATAATGTCAAAGTTAATACTGGATATAAGGATTCACTGCAGGAATTAAAACTAGTGCAATTTATTTCTGATTGTTTTTTTCACTTGCATGGAATGCTCGTTTGTTAAGCCATTACCGAAAGATGTTAAGGTTGGTTTAAAACAATTATACATTTAGAATGGCTTAGTTAGTTGGACCAAACATCTAAATGATGTTACCTGTTACATGGGTCTCCCAACAACGGAGGGGAAAGCAGCACGTGTGGCGTCATCGCCGGCTAGTCCAGCCTTACACGTAGTCCAGCCTTACACGAGAAGGATCCACTGGCCACGACTACAGCGACACCATCGCCGTTACACATCATTATTCAAAGAATAGTATACAAGTTCCTATAATTAACAAAAGTGCATCAAAGATGATTTGACGGACACGAGGAAATGAACAGCCAAATTCATAACCGATATTGTGTATCGTGTATCTATATCTTGTGTATCTTGTATATAAACACGTTGATTAAATCATTTCGATGTTTACAAGACACCAGAAGCAATTTTAGTATGCTATGTATGTGCTGCTATAATTTGACGCTTTCGCGCAGACGAGACCTGCTAAACTTCGTAATTCGTAATTCTGTATCGATCGTTAACTGATACAGTGTATAGATACAACATTTGCATCAAACTTGATTACAACAAATAGTTCATTACAAAACGAGCGTACTATAATTACGTGATCAAACTGAGCTAGCAGGGTACCAATAATGGTTAACGATAATGAAAAACTGCAGGTAGAAACCACCAACCGGTTGTACTATCATGACATTTAAACAAGTTCAGTGACGTCTACATTCATTCATGTAAACGCGAGTATTAGTTAAACAGAAGACCTTGTTTGAAATCGTATAGATATGTATGCCTTACAGATTATAAGCACCCTTAAACAATAACGTCCCTGATATTGACATAGGTTTTCTACAGGCTAGGCTATTTGGGTTTATTAGCTTAGTACCTACGTTATCACTGTTAACAGAACGACAAGAAATGTGCGACCTTGAGGCTCAATAGTGGTTTACAGTTACACATAACTACATGTACCAGCGACTCGAACGTAATTATAATATGCCTGTTGTCAGAATTTCTTACGTTTAAACTAAAATTCATATTATAAAATTACTGTTGTATAGATAGTAACATTAGACGTTATTCGCTTCGTGTGACACAGCGACATATCTCAAACAAATCCTGATACTTAGAAACGACGCTGAAAAAGCAAATAAACTGGAATATATATATATTAGACGGTTGACAATTTATTGATTGATAAGCTTCTTAACCAGGGTTTTCTACCAAAGACGTTCTACTACACATTATAACGGGTGCCACAAGTGGCTCAGGAAACACTCGCATTTCCGGATCACATCTTTTTGCCTTCACTTTTAGAAGAGAGTTCGTTATAACTTTCCTTTTCTTTTGTGGTCTCTTTAAGACCTAAAGTTGTCTCTTGATATTCAGTTCAAATTTATTTTGTTCCTGTGTATTGGCATAGGGTACACTTTTAATTATTTCTTATTCGAAAGTCCATACCACTACTACCAGTTCCTCAGCCTAAGTATGTTTGTACACGTGCTATCAATTCACATATGCATCCGAGATAGAACATACAGTCGTACAATTACAGTATCTTATCTTGTCATTCGTTATACATGTTGTACCATTGGAAATGATCAGGTAATCCTTATATCTCAAACAAAGATAAAATAGTAACCAAATAATAGGATCATGTTCATTTCTTTACACGTGCGATGTTCTTGTATTTTGTTTCCTTCCAGAACTAAAATTTAACACCGAGAAGCACTTCTTGTGTACACTGATTGGTCCATACATCTGCCGTGTGATCCACGAATTATCAAAAAGTGAAAAATAAATCCACCTATCCAAACCATTACGACAATAAAACAGTAAGAAGTATCGGGCAGCAACTTGAGGGAAATTTCGATATTTATCATGATGTATGACGTGTAAAGCTCTTTGCATTTTGTGACATATTATATCATGCTTTGTGATGTATACCATAGTATTGTGATATAAAGCACTGTATTTTGTTATTATTGTATCATGTGTTGCATCGTACTGGATAGAACAATGTGTGGTAAAAACCTTTGTACTGTGATATTGTATTATAAATGCAGTCCATTGATATCACAACGGGTTAACACGAAGTGTGGTTATAGATAGTAACAGTCATACCTAACGAGCGAACTATACATCCTAACCGGTTGCCTTTGATACGATACCTCTCGATATTTAGGAAATCCTAGTTTCAGTGACTCATATATAGATGTTCACTGTAAAATATAACACCCATTCAACTTTTCAACTTTCATCTTTATTTCGCTTCATAAAATTATTTATCTACATAGAAAACATATTACAGCAGTATTATAACATCAAATGTAACATTATGGAGGACAAATAACGAATATTTTTTTTAAACAAAATTTTGATAAATTTGCATAAATTTCTTGAAAATATTTTTAACATTGCTTGTATCTATTAGTTCTGAGAACTTGACAATATTTGGCATTGCATAATAATATTTATATAAATATAACAGTATTTCTGTAGACAGAAAGGGACATTTTAATGATGATAATGATAATGATATACAACATTTGATATAGCGCCCTATCTAGCTAACATAAGCAACTCTAAAGCGCTTTACAGTACATAGATATACAATTAATACAATTAGCGTACACATTAACTAATTCAATTTTTGAGGAATTCGCAGGAGCTGCCTCATCACTAACTACTAGTCATATGCCACCTGGCTAATATATCCATATGTGTGTATGCCTGCGTGTGTGCTGGAGATGTATTGTGTTCTGTTTTGTAATGGCATCTTTTTATAGTGCTACCTCACTTGAATGCTATAGCACAGATACCGCAACATCCACCCCAGACCATTTTATACTCCACCTGGGTTGTTGGGTTGTGTGGGCGGGAGAAAAACACTTTCTATGATATTCCATGCGTACGACGACTTCGAGGATCGAACCCCGGCCGTCTGCGTGGAAGGCCGAAGTGTTAACCACTTGACCAATCCGCCCATAGTAGTGAAATTTGTCACCAATGTTTTGGTTATCGCAGTATGTATTCAGTTTTAGTACTAAAATTATTCCATCTTCCAGTTCTAACTATAAATTTATGATAAATATTTCTAAATTTACACAATACAATTCGTTCATTTTCAGTCAACAATTCTAGACACTTTTCAAAATAATAATTTGTTTATATGTTCTGTAACACATAGACTTAGAGAAATTACAGATTTCATTACTTTGTGTAATCCTATATATATACATCAGTCAAAATTCATTTCAAATACTTTGTGTCATCCTATATATACATCAGTCCACATTCACTTAAAATACTTTGTGTAAATCTCAAGTAAGGAATTGATTTATTTTCATTAGTATAAACATGATATAGTGTATTTTACAAAAGCAAAGCTCAATTTACTTTCTATAGACTGTAGCATTCACACATGGCGGGTGGAACGTCACTGTGTATCTAACTAGTGTTCTGTGGATGGTGTATTCAATAGTACCTATATTAGTAAAACCGAAACATCCACTACATTACTGAAATCTGACGTCGATTAATAAAGGAACACAACACAATGGGGATAATATTTCATATCAGAATATCTAATATAAAACATCATCAAAAAATGCCCTCATTTATGATGTCATAAGTTTCGTACAATTAACGACAATGGAATGGATATATTAAAAACCCGAAGCATCCGAGTATGACGTCACTGTAGTTTACTTGGTATATTATGAACAAAGTTTTATAAAGTTTATAACGGATATATCATAACCTGTCATTCTGAATATAAGGTATCGTTACATAAAGGAAAAAAATGAATAAAACACCATAACATGTAATAGTAAGCAGGTATTGTACAGTTCGTAATTGAGGAACTTTAACGGTAATCTAGAGTGATGACGGGTAGATACCTAGACGGGAAGCATTAGTTGGTATATTGTTATTTCTGTTAATTCATTGCATACCTACTTACTTCAATTTTACAGACATTGCATAGTTCGTAATATCATATGCATGTGTATATATTGTAACTTTTCACACAATGTAATTTTACAGACATTGCATAGTTCGTAATATCATATGCATGTGTAAATATTGTAACTTTTCACACAATGTAATTTTACAGACATTATATAACGTAAATATAACGTACTGTAATGTTACAAAATTTGCATATCTTTAACCTATTTTAATGTAACATGTTAGTTACATAAGGGGAAACATTAATAGTATAAGGTCATTTTTGTACAGATATTGTGTATCTATAACTCACTGTAATTCTACATATATTGTGTCAATTAAACTTACTGTATCATACCTACTTGGTTTGCATGCAGGTATATATATATTTTCCCCCGAGAAGTTTATAACATTATTTTTACAATTGAAAGAAGGAAAATTGATTAATGATATGTTTGAAAAGTGTACAAAAAAGTGTGCATAGAATTTAAGACAAATATATGACATATATCTTCCAAATATCACGGGTATAAATTGTAAGGAACATGTAGCATATAATCTTAAATCTTAGATAAACACAGATGTATGTGAGGTAGTAAGTATATAACCTGAACTCTAACACAAATCACAGATATTATCAGTAACGATGTTTGAACCCTAATCCTTAAAACACCTTATAACTGTTACAGTGCGTAAGGTAACATATAACATTAACTTTGACACAGATCACAGGTATAATGGTTTAGGTAACAAATGACCTTAACTCTCATATAATTTTACAGGAATAATGTATAAAGTAATATATATCCTTAAATTTAACACAAATTTGAAGGTACATGTACATGTAGCATAGATCCGAAAGTCTAGCACAAATCACAAATATGTCCTTCTTTGACAACATGATGTATTTTCAGGAAAGGGCGTCTGTAATCACAACACGTGCCATTTGACTTAACATTCCACAATGAGTTCTTGAAGGGTTATCATTTTCTTTTTAACAACATTCTTCATTTTTCGTGTTTCTTTGTCCTTCTAGAATATGTTACAGTTAAAATTGCCATATTACACATAAGATACAATCGAATAAGTTCAGAGAAGAGTCCATTCCTTCAAAAGAGCAGGATAGGTTCTTAGTGTGATAACTCCAGCTAGTCATATGATCACTTCGATGAAATGAGATTTTCTTCAGACAATATTTAGCATGAAGTTGTCTGAAGAAACAAATATTAAATCGCTCTTACATATTATTATATATCATAACACTATTAACTCACTATTAACTCTTAAGAAAAATTTTAAATCGCTCATACATATATCATAACACTATTAGACCCGTTAAAGTCAGTATTCATTTTTTTCTAAATATATACTACGTAATGGGTCAAGATAATATAACTAGCAATATGCAATGGGCAGAAGTTTTCTGAACAATATATTAGTTTTTAGATGAACATCTACATGAATTAATCTGATACAAAGTACATAATTATATGTGATCAAACTTTATTTCAACAAACAATGCAGTCCATAGTTAATCAACTATAAGCAAAACTTGGCGAAAAGTGTGAAAAGCAAATCTGCGTTATTTAAAGAAAACTAAATTTTGAATAAAAGTAAAAACATTCGCATTTCACAATCGAATATGATATGACAAAATATATGATCACAACAAACGGTATTATTTGACCTAAATACGCACGATTAAGATAAATAAACGAAGTTTTCATACGTCTCAATATAAAATTATTGTCTTTCAATTTTACAATATTATGACGGTCTCAGGAGTCAGGAAACTTGCAAAAAGTGAAAAACATGTAAAAAAAAACAACTACAATGGTGCACACTTGATCCGAACAAGAAGACGGTCCTGGGATGAGTATTAGTTAAAATCGATATAAAGCACAGAAGTAATAGCAACTGTGCACACAATAACAAAATGTCAATTTTAGCCAATCCGCCAGTTTGTCAAGATACAAGCTTCAAAAACAGTGAAAAAAATCCAAAGACAATTAATAATATTCATCACTCTTTGGCACTGCCATGATATAACCCTACAAGTTAGAATTGCATTCATATCAGCTATAAATGCCATTACCCACATGTTAAGATCATTCACAATTATTATGGAGTCATATTTTACTATTTACCCTGCTACATGACTGTTTCATCAATTTAACACGCATATACAATATATACATATATTTAAACTACATACTGAATTTTGATAATATAAATGATAATATAGTGCGAGAAATATTGATAACGTATATTTTCTCTGTGACTAAACTATTTTTGAAATGGTATTTAAGTATTGAACATATTTTAGTTTGCATTTACAGTCAATATGAATGCCATCTGGAACCTGATAAATTCAACAACAGAGCTCTAGTTCAATAATCACTTATAAATAATGAGTATTCCTTCCGTTGGCCGGTAATAAAGGATATTGATCAGGTACAATATTTCGTTCTATTTACGACCGTATGGCATTGACATTATATAACATAATAAAAGATAAATCCAACATGAAGCGCTATAGCGCTTCATTGAATTTGCCTTTGTTCAATTGGAATTCGTATTGCCTATGAATGCCAACTGAAGGCAGTTCAATGCTTAAATATTTACCTACGCATGGCATTGTGTCTATACAACCTTACCACATTCAAGTTGCATTCAAATATGCTATGAATGCAATGAGCCGATTGTTGACGTCAACGTTATTATGGCGTTATTACAAACACATACGGTTAATACATTTTTTTTAATTAAATGCTGAATTTGCTATAATATTGATCATCACGTCTCCTGAATTGAAAAACAATAGTACGGTAACCTAAAATCATTAGTTATTCTTAAAAACACTTTCGATGGACAAGGGCTGGTCCGTATTCATCGTATTCTTCCTTACTTATACATTCATCCAAAAAAGTGGACCTTGACGCCCTAATTGAACCCCCGGACCATGTACAGGTTTGACTATCTGGTGTAGCAAGCACACGAGATTTCATACCAGCTGGTGCTAAAATGTTCAACTCTTTTTGTAAACGATTCGCAAAACCAGGCAGCAGAGAGGTACCTCCGGCGAGTACAACGTTACCAAACAGGTGTGAGGTGGGGGTGTCTTTATTACATTTCATTATACTGTAATAAAGCGACTCGTGAATACCATTACATTCATGTCCTATTAAAGATGGTGTGAAAAGGCTTTCAGGACATCTAAATCTCTCCCTGTCGAGACTGATAACTTGCCCGTTAGGAAGTGTGTAACTCTCTGGAGGCGTTGACACACACGTCATTTCATGTTCAAAGTCTAAAGCAGCATAACAAAACCTTTCTTTAATGTCTCTTGCGATTTCTCTCTCGGCTGTGGTTGTGAATGAGAAACCCCGTTCGTTTAGCAGTTTCATGAGGTAATCTGTGATATCGATTCCAGAAATAATTACCTTTGGAATAGCATATGGAAGAGCACATCCTTCATAAACAGGGACCACGTGACTCACTCTATCCCCGGAGTCCAACACTATACCAGTGGTGAGGCCATTCGCGTACAAAGCACACACTGCCTGATTTTCCAAGTACATGGCGGGGAAGTTAAAAGTTTCGAACATGATCTGTGTCATCTTCTCTCTGTTGCACTTTGGGTTCAACGGGGCCTCTGTCAGGAGGATGGGTTGGTCCTCTGGATCTATACGGAGTTCCTTGTAGAACATGTGATGCCACAGTTTCTCCATGTCGTCCCAGTTGGTGATTATGCCCCATTCGACGGGGTACTTTATTCTAAGATCCCCTCTCCTACTCTTGGCCTGATCACTAAAGAGAATATCGTCATCTTGTAAGCTTTCCACGCCCTAAAAGTACAAAATTAATAGGAACTAGGAATTGTTGGCTAACAATTTGACGGGCTTTTCACCATTAGGACTGATTTGAATTTGGTCTCAACCCTTTATATCATGTTCTCTTGCTTCAAACCATTAATTCATATCTATGAACCTTTCGTTAGAGAATAGCTGCGACTTTGAGGAACAAAATGTGCTGTGTTAATAGTCAACGAAAATTCAGTTAAACTTAGTATCAGACACGAACTATTCCTTAGTAATCTACGGAAGCTGATAGGGTACTGGGGGGATTCCCAGAGTGCGATATGACGTCAGAGAAACAGTGGATTAATATAGACAGCCAATGGGTGGTGTCCGTCAATCATATAGTTCTTCAGCTATGACTTTACTTACTTGAAGATTATGAATTATAATTGTCATTTGGTCTATATCAGTTCGGTTTCCCAAGCTGAGGAAACATCCCAACCGTTGTAGAAATGTTAACTTCCCATACTTCACAGATTAAGAGTGCGTAGGAATTTATAGGTACTAATTAAACTTGTCCAAGTTATGAACGTTTCTCGGCGGTAGAATTTGGAGATCAAAGGAAATATTCAAAATGGTGTAGGTTGTTAACGGTAAACGTTACAGAAAAAGTGAAGACACCAAATCTATTGGAATGAAATTTCCTATCTTTTACCGCGAGTAAATTATATTTATCCTACTACAAAAGAAATAGAAGAAGTTGGTTTGTACTCTTATAGTACTAAGAAAAGCGACAAAATTTAAAGTAAATTGAACTTTAACACTGAAATAATTAGAAAATGAACTAGGATTTACTCTTTTCAAACTATTTTGAAACATATTTCTAAAGATTAATGTACTATATAGTAAAATTATATCAATGTATTACTTCATTATTTATAATTGTATGTAATTTTATAATAGATGTACTCTTGTAATTAGATTTTGACGTATGTATGTATCACATGTTGTAACAATTATATATATAATTGAATAAAAGTATATATGAAAAAAAAAAACCTGTCGACCTTTGACCCGATAGGAGGAATCTTAATTTGACATTTTTTTAATAACATATAATAACAACAAAATAGCCCCGAACAAAATCTTTAAATAATAGAATTGCATAAATGCTGTATAATGAACGATTTTCGAGTTATGGCCGTTTAAACATTTTTACATATGACGTCATGGCGGCCATCTTGAATTTTTGACCTTCATGACAATGTTTCAATGACACCTTCCAGTGAGTGGCTACAGAATTATGGCAGAAGAATAATAGTACCGAGAAAAAGCAGTCGAACAAAAACAATAGGTCTTTTCACTTGAGCGAATAGCCCTAAATGTCATTATCGGAAAAAATAGCAATTGCATAAAAGAGAATCAATACCATTACTTAGAAATACGTCATACGAACAGTTATCTGAACATATTATTTAAGGTGGGAAATGTTTACCATCTTCCGTTTCTTGGTGTCAACAGGACACAAAAAAAACTCAGGGTAAAATAATTGAAGTAAACACTGTTTCGTTACAGATATATACACGTTCGGTATCCATCACGGTTACGTACCTTATGCCTAGGTTTTCCAACAATAGAGGGAAACGTCATCGGACCAGATTCTCCGGCGAATCCAGTTCTGTAAGTTATAGACCCGTTGTCAATAACAATTGCAGGCTTGTCCATTCTGACCGCTCTAAACAAATAATTAGTCTTTTAACAAATAACTAGTCTCTAAACAAATCGTTTCTTAACTATTAATCAAGTTTTTCACAAATAATACATCTTCTCTTAACAAACACTTTAGTCAATAAACAATTAATTTATATACATAACCTTTATATGTATGTATATGTAGTTATATATATATATATATATATATAATTAGTCTCATCATAAATAATTGGTCTATAAGTAAATAGTTCATCCATTAAACTTATAACTAGTCTCTTATTGACATACCTGAAGGAATTATTTATTGTTTTCAAAATAATGAATTTCCTCAGAAGTAAGAAGAAGAACATGTCAGTACATAGCATATGCTAGAAAACAACTGGCAACGGAAAACGAAACGCCGCCTTTATATACATTTGTAGAATTTTTCTTATTGTAATTAAAACTATCGCAGTTGAGTGTAGAGTTGTATTGACCAATTCTCTATGGTAACCGTTGTTATTCTCTATGGTTTAACCGTTGTTATTATCTATGGTAACCGTTGTTATTCTATATGGTAACCGTTGTTATTCTCTACGGTAACCGTTGTTTTTTCTATATGGTTACTGTTGTTTTTCTATATGGTAACCGTTGTTATTCTATATGGTAATTGTTGTTATTCTCTATGGTAACAATTGTTTTTCTATATGGTTACTTGTTTTCCTATATGGTAACTGTTGTTTTTCTATATGGTAACCGTTGTTATTCTCTATGGTAACCGTTGTTATTTTATATGGTAACTGTTGTTATTCTATATGGTAACCGTTGTTATTCTATATGGTAACCGTTGTTTTTCTATATGGTTACCGTTGTTATTCTCTAAGGTTACTGTTGTTATTCTGTATGGTAATCGTTGTTATTGTATATGGTATAAGAAATATGAAGTAAGAAAGAGTCTATTGATAAATTTAGTGTGTTGATTTTACTGAAACAAAGGGGTCATTTTGTCCGTTAAGGGCCCGGCAGATATAAATTAAGGTCAAAATCTGTAAAGTCTATAAACCATGTTATACAGTACGTATTGACTTATATGCAAGAAACAATCGAATCCAATATCGAGGAATCATGTGTTTTCCGTTTGAAAACAAACCCTTTATCAACAAATGATAATCGTATTTACTATTCGTATAAGCACCAGGCAATACCAGTGTATAGATCTTACAGTACTATGTCGGACGAACAACTTTGTTTCCGGATTTTAGCTTCCTTTACATACATGAATCACAATGCCAAGCGAGTAGTACATGTATATCATCGAAGTATCATTTATCTTTTCCTCTTCAAAACAAACCCGATATTAAAATAAAAATAGGTTTACTTTTCGTAAGCAGTGGTCTGTCTCAACACAAGTACAAACCCAAGAAGTGCTAGCGTTTAGGTTATACTGTAATTTAAGCAAATGAAATACAAAAAAAACCTGCAATTTAAATGAATAACGCAAATACAGGTATAGCGGTGTCCATCACAAACAGTAGCACACGATCATCTACATTCCCTTTTAAATTCAGGTTCATTTATTACGTTAAGCTATACAGATCATTAATCTATAAAATGCATTATAACTGTAAATAAACAATAATAACAATCGTTCACCATTTCCGTATTTATGCCTAGAATTGTGCAGAGATATATCGCACTGTTAATAAATATTGTGCGAGATACAATGGCCACGCTGACAAACAATTAATAACGTTAGCTTTATTCTATTCAATGTGTCGTCTTCTGTTAGCAATTCTTACATGACCAAACTACGTTTTTCCTTTTGATTTTCTGTAGACAACAATTTAATCAATTTATACAAACTTAAATATTGGATCCAACAAATGACTTGCATCGACATAAATTAAAAATAAGTAAAAACAGACACACACATATATACATTATTATACATGTACATAGTGGTATCAAGTTGAAGCAGAAACACACACACGTGTAATTTATACATGTAAGCACGGAATTAGATTATCTTAGTCCGTGATGTAAGTGATACAAATAGGACACGCCCACATCCATCCTCACACATGCTGTTGATATGTAACATGCTATATTGTGAGTTAACATACCACACAGAAATGTGTACCACACTAATGAGAACCCCAGGCCCCCTGGTAGATCATTATCAACAATACTAACATACGCTATCGGTATACATACGTCTGTGTGGCGAAGCCCACTTCCTAGTACATGGGAGAAATGTTACCGGATGTTTTCTTTACGCGTAAAGAATTGTGGGAATTAAATGTAAAACACCTTCTGTATGGCGCGGTCTTTTAAATGTGAGCAAAACACCACGTGAACCTGAAGAAGCGGTATTAAATCTTACATCAGGAACAACGTTTAAATATTCATCATAATACCCATTACCGAATACTTATTTTTACAGAAATTGTAGAAATACTCATCGACTGATTTTGATTGGTTTTTAAAATTGTTTCGTGTTTGTAGCCAGCATGTACAGATAGTTTATAGATATATTCATATATATATATATATAACATTTATGTTATCAAAAGTAATTGCAAATTGGTTCAAATGAGTTATGGTCTGATGTAAATTTATGTATTTTCAGATTAAATTAAATGTTTAAATATTTGCCAGGGTGAGAGTACCCAAAATGGAACACTTTTTAAAGAAAAATGTTAATATTTCATATAAGGTTTCTGAAAGACACATTTTTTTAATGAAATGAAACAGCACATGTCTTAAGCCTCCATTTTATGTATTTCTCGGGTATCAGCAGCGCGTATGTCTATTTATAGAGCTCGTTAAAGTGGGTCAAATTCACTTGGAATTTCAAGAAATCACGGGCTGATTTTATAAAAAGTGTACGTGTCCTTTACGAGAGGTTTGGTCTCTATGATGAAAGATTGGACATAAGCCCCGGCTTTACTAAATGGACGACATCGATTGCTTGCATGGTACATGTCAGCTCAAAGAAAGAAAAGCGAAAAGAGCTTCATTATTAACATCACGATTAAAGCGATGCTTTCTTTATAGCTAGTGACACCGGGCATACGCCTACCACAGCATTGTACTCACATGCACTGTTATGAGTTCAATATATTGTAATGAGAAAAATAAGTATGGCGTTTATTGTTAGCTTGGATATGAAGCACTTCCTGTAAACAATAGATGGGTCAGGCCACGGAATAAGATTAAGTCCGTGGTCAGATTCGTCGAATTCCTGTTTACTGATCCAATTTTGTTTGAGAGGTGGATTTCCTTGTTCGTTATAAAGGTCGATACTTTTTATTGTGCTCATTTTGCCTTGTGGTTTCGTTGTTACTGCCCAGGTTTTCAATTCGGAGACGTAACATTACTAGGATATGACCTAGATTACATGATGGGTCTCGTCACCGAAGCCCGAGATGTTTACCCTGCCGGAACACTTGGTTTTATTTCTCCTTATACTTTTTCCAGGGTCAAGCACATACTTTTTCTATTGTTTATAGTTGGCTCTGGTTTCATTGATTTTGAGCTCGATTTAAATTTTGTTCAGCTTTTGTGTTTTCTTAATTCAAATGATGGAGCAATTATCTTTATTTATTTTGTACTTTGAGTCAAGGCGGTGATTTCCTTCCGCATACGGTTACCGATACCAGGGTACATGGTGGTAACACCGGACAGAACTGTGTTTGCGTACAGGTCTTAACGAATGTCAACATCATACTTCATAGCTGATGTATGCTGTTTATACAGGCAGCAGCGTCTTTGTCGGTTTAAATCTTGTTTTTATTACCTTGATCAATACAAAAATAGTAAATGGTCAGAATTGGTGAATGTTCGACGTAAAGAAACACGAAAAACGATAAGGGTGAGGCATTCTGTTGAACAAAAAAGATGTATTAATGGGTGAAAATTCTCTTTAGAAAATGACCATTGTGGTTAGGAAATTATGTTTAGTTCAGTGGTTAAGATATGGGGGTCAACCTGTTACAAAAACAGGGTAATACGGTTAGGGAATTGTCTTTAATGGTTAGAATTTGAGGGTCAAAACGATGCAGAAAAAGGAAATAGGTGAAGAGAGCTGGCATCAAGAAAACGGGTTTTTAGGGAAACATTTCTCTCGGCAATTTAGATGTAACGATCATAACGATACAAAAATGATTCATAAAAAGCGTCGAGAATTCTTTTCAAAATCAATTATTAAGATGTTAGAGTCAAACAGATACCAAAATGGATAATGAGTATCGAAAATATTTTCGATTTTAATAGCTTACATTTATGGGTCAAAACAATATATAAAAGAAGGTCTTATAGAGTCGAAAATTATTTTCAAATAATGGTTGAGATTTGAGGTTCAAAACTATATAAAAAAAGGAGAGAAGGGGTTTAAAGTTCTCTTCAAAAAATAAAAGCGTAATCTAACCATTAGCCCTACACTTGACGCTAGAAGATCATAGTGCATTCATCATCTATCAACACTACTAGTGAATTAGTTTTACAAAGCGCCGTATGCTGTGAAACACTTTAAAAAATGGAATAGTATATTTCCTCCTCGGACATCTCACCTTGTAACTACGCCGATTGACATTATCTAAATTCTAAATCATATATTATCGGAGTTTTTTAATATATATATATATCATGTGTGTATTAAAATGGACAGTATTAGTTAATGATCCTGTCTAAATCGTACAAAAGCGTTTGGATACCGTTTGGTAATATACAAGCTGTAAGTATTTATATTTTAGAATTAATAAAACCGTCGGAACTGCATTTAATTTCTTTTCGATTTTTTTTTTAAATCAATATAATAATAGTCTTGATAGAAACTGTTTTATATTTTTTCACGTTATTTTCAGTTATAAACCTGTATGTGATACTTGGAAAGAGACTCGTTTTAAATGGAATTTATAATTTATTTTTTAATTGTTCAAAATTCAACAGTGTCAAGAAATATTACTCAAAACAAATTTTATTTGGTACGGAAGTTAACAATAGTATTGGCTGGTATTTCTCGAAAACCAACAACAAAACATTTGGTATTATTTATTTAGCCAAGAAACATAAAAAAAATATTTTGGTATATGAACTATGCGATATATTTGTCAGCCAGATGACGGTCTAATCACAAACATTTGTTATTTTTTATTTGATGTAGTTTTAGGTGATATGCTACCTTATGGGGAGATCTATATAATTCTTTCCAAAATCGGTTCCAATCTGAGAAACGTGTGAATTAGTCTAGAGTCTTAAAGACTTGAATAATCAATCAATCAATCACACATTTGCAAATGCATAACTTCAGGAATGCAACGAGGAAGCTGAATAATATCAATTAGTTAAAGTATTTAGTTTAAACATAGTTATTGCATTTAAATAAGGAATAGGATCGGGCTCACGTTATAACATTTTTAAAGCCCTCTCCTCAACAATATTAACACAAATTGTGTACAGATGTATTTTTCTATTTCACATAATGTGGATGAACAGTATACATATACTAGGCAATTTTTAATTTAGGTTTTAAACTATTTACCAGAACTCCAATCATACAAGCAGTAGGTGACATGTGTAATGTACCATTGTCTATAATAATTAGTCATTGGTGTGTGTGTGTGACGTAACACTAGGGGTTGCTACATAGGGATAGTAGGTGACATGTGTAAAGTACCATGGTCTATAATAATAAGTCATTGGTGTGTGTGTGTGACGTAACACTAGGGGTTGTTACATACAGATAGCAGTATGGAAATATGTGCATTGTATAATATAAGATAGCATCATGACTGACCATTCCACATGTCTGGTCATTAGGTAGTTATGTCCGCTCAGTTGTCAGCTCAATTGTCACCTAACGGTCATTCTGTCTGGTCATCATAGTTATGGTCGTTTGACGACGATCAATCACGTGTACGATGATCACGTGTCGTCTTGTAGATAGGTCACGTCAGCTTGTATTCCCATTGCTTCTCTGCTATACAGATCAAATGTTACGATGACATGATGATCGACGTCATTTACAACCTCTACTCATTTCCCGCCTAATTCAAGTGTTTCGGTGACCTCTAGACGAACAGAAGATTTGACAAAATTTGAACTTACCAACAGACATCACTTAAAGAATGTCACAAGCAGATATCAGGCAAAATCAGTAGCATACCCCCAACCTTCACACAACGAATTTATCAGATATAGACCGTTTGGGATTTAAAACCAAATTTGAAGTTCAAATATCAACATCTGCTCGATTGTGACAATGTTGCCCTCTGATCTTTGTCCTGAGATACAGTGTACAAGTACTCCATCAACAAAATCAGAGATTTTATCGCATTTTTCGTTTTTTAAACAAGACATCAACCGGAATGGCGGACAAGGTAAGATAAGGTCTCGAAGTTGGCTACAATGACTGGTAGCGTTACGCTTCTGAACGTGATCAATGTGGGTAACGAATTTACCGTTTAAATTACACACTAGCGTATTGTATATCGGGACTGAGCATTTAAATCAGCAAGTCAGTTTTATCAATGAAAACAATTGGCACCATTTTCATTGCATTTTTTTTAACCGGGCTACAACAATTGCATTATCGATATATTAATGTTTGGGAAAGCAATAAGCAGATATTCAGATGTCCATGTTTGTAAAATGGAAATTTCATAAATTATGTATCTTCCTTTATAAATCATGAAAATGTCCTTTAGGACACAGACATTTTAGTTGTCTGGAATTAACAGTGTTGGAAAGTGTGACACCAAGATCCGAATTGAATTGCATGGAATGATTTATAGGAAGAAAACCGAAAGGTAAAATAAGATCAATGTATTTTATTTATCAACATTCAATAACATCAAGGATAAAAAGATGAATAGCTGTCAATGATAAATGGCACTAGACACACGCCTAACACACGGTTGTCTTCATACACACTGTAATGAGTTTATGGCAAAAATAAATAAAGCGTTCATTGTTTGTGTTTGGTTTAGAAGCATTTCCTGTGGACAATGGAGGGGCCAGACTCGTCGTATTCCTGTTTGCTGATCCACATCTGTTGGAAGGTGGACAGAGAAGCCAAGATGGAGCCACCGATCCAGACAGAGTATTTCCTCTCTGGTGGAGCAATGATTTTGATCTTCATTGTGCTGGGGGCCAACGCGGTGATTTCCTTCTGCATACGGTCAGCGATACCAGGGTACATGGTGGTACCACCGGACAGAACTGTGTTTGCGTACAAGTCTTTACGAATGTCAACATCACATTTCATGATGCTGTTGTATGTCGTTTCGTGGACACCAGACGATTCCATTCCCAAGAATGATGGCTGGAACAGAGCCTCGGGGCACCTGAACCTCTCGTTGCCAATGGTGATGACTTGGCCGTCGGGAAGTTCGTAGCTCTTCTCCAGAGATGAGGAGGCAGCTGCTGTGGACATTTCCTGTTCAAAGTCAAGTGCAACATATGCCAACTTCTCCTTAATGTCTCTTACGATTTCTCTCTCGGCGGTGGTTGTGAATGAGTAACCACGTTCTGTGAGGATTTTCATGAGGTAGTCTGTAAGATCACGTCCTGCGAGATCTAACCTAAGAATGGCGTGAGGTAGGGCGTAACCCTCATAGATGGGTACACAATGGGTCACACCATCCCCAGAGTCCAACACAATACCGGTAGTACGACCTGAGGCGTACAGGGACAACACAGCCTGGATGGCTACATACATGGCGGGGGAGTTGAAGGTCTCGAACATGATCTGTGTCATCTTTTCCCTGTTGGCCTTGGGGTTGAGGGGAGCCTCTGTCAGGAGGACAGGGTGTTCCTCAGGAGCCACACGGAGCTCGTTGTAGAAGGTGTGATGCCAGATCTTCTCCAAATCGTCCCAGTTTGTGACGATTCCGTGTTCGATGGGGTACTTGAGGGGGAGGATACCTCTCTTGCTCTGGGCCTCATCGCCGACATAACTGTCTTTCTGTCCCATACCAACCATCACTCCCTAAAGAGAGAGAGAGAGAGAGAGATAAAACAGTGTTATAGATCGGTGTCTTTTTGTTTTGTGCTTGGCTACCAAATACTAATGTTAAACAAATGTACTGTATATATACTTCATTTGTAATTAGAACTGGAAAAATCAATGAAATATTTATCATCTTCAATAATATATAGGTTTCGGTAGTGTGTACTATGGCAAGTGCCATCAGACTCGTGTACATACATTTACCTATAACTGAAAGATTGCACGTAATGATTAGCTTTAGAATGGTGATTTTATTCTAATAAACGTAAGGACTGACCTCAGGGGTCCGTTACAATAACTGTACGCTTATGCTGGTACTGATAAGGACCACAGCACAGCACAGTTAGATCTATATTATAGTAAGAGCATATGTGTATAGGTATTTGTAGCAAAGATCTGTGACCGACAGAATGATAAAAGTAGAAGAATAACTTGGTCATATGGACCGAATCAGGACAGGTAATACAGTGAAATACTCGTGTAGTATAGTAACAATTGTAGACAGTTGTATTGACACGTGATTTTAAAGAACATGTATTGTAAAGAATATAACAATTACTTCTTAATATATGCCGGCTGTAAAACGATTAACATAATTACTCACAATACAGTACAATATCTATCTACTAGCTGCATTACATTTTGTATGTTGTATTCAATCATGATCAGTATTGAGTTGGGTTTTTTATATGGAAAATATAGGGCAAAATTATATATCCTGGGCGATTTCGAATATAGTACGGAATGGTTACAGTAACGAAACTACATAGGGTTATGTATACAGAATGATATACATCAGCACTTCTTATTAAATTGAAGGGTACACATTTATTTATCATATATAAAACGGTGTATATCAAAAATGAATATTTATATTAAAACTGTAGCAACGTAAGTTAATATGTATCATATAGTTAGTACATATAGTACGTTGTCCGTTGGATCAATAGTATATACAAGTGCACATAATCCTTTGATTGCATTAAAATAAATGCTTACCTGATGTCTGGGTCTCCCAACAATTGAGGGGAATACAGCACGTGGGGCATCATCGCCGGCAAATCCAGCCTTACACATTCCGGACCCATTGTCCACAACTAAAGCGGCTACATCATCGTCACACATTTTGTCTGGTAGTTGATCTTTGCCTAGTGTTAATATTAGATGTTAAGCTATCGCCCGTTGGAAACCGTTCTGAAGACTACGGGCATGCCCTCGCTTATATATCGCACGGCGTCACGTCATCGAGCTGTTCCGAGAAGTGCGTCTCGTTAAGCCGAAGCATGGCCATATATGGGCATAACCGCCCAGGTAAACTACTGTGCTGTTAGTCATATAAGGTGCTGTTTACGGCGAGTCGTTCGTTCACACTAAGGTATACTACACGTCCCGGTCAGCTTATTGTACCGTAATAATTACAGTGAGCCTTGTGTTTTGTTCTAACATACCACAGATTAATCGATAGCTTTTAAAACCAGCTCTGAGCTTCCATTAAAATATTATTGATTTAACATGTGCGTCAGTGTATTGTAGAATGGTGTAGGTAAGCATAGTATTAAAGGTATTTATAAATCTAACTAATCGTATTACTGACCACTTCAGTATTTTATGAAATATACTCAATTTAATTTAATTCAAGTGTATTGTTTAAAATCTTTTCATATGTATGTGTGTATATTATACGGGTCTATATACGTGTCAAAAGAATATTTAAGATCGAGATTTGATTCCAAGGTAGATGGATGGGTGTAAGTATATGTATTTGACAGGTTCAAGCCCCGGGGTACCGTTCTCTAAGTAGGTGTGATCATGGACAGGACACTCGGCCAGTCAGCACGTCAGTGGAATGTCACCGGTAAAAGTCGTCACAACTAGACAGATGACGGATAAGTACATGTGTAATAACACAACTATGAAAGGAAACGCTGTTTTATAAGTGGGAGGACATTAATTCGCTACTCGCCTAACCTGAAATAAAAAAAACGTCCCGAAAATAGGAAAATATACCCAGACAACTACAAGCATATATTGTACGTATAATATGCATTAAAGTTGAGTTGAATGTTGAATATAAAATAAATGGAATTAAAACACTGGGGGTCCATATCCCGCCAGTACTTTCGTCTATTTGGGATTCTTCGGACGATTTGAATTTATTTTAATGAATATAAGTATTGCATTATTAAATAAAGACAAACTAAACAAATGTACGATTTAATGAATACATTGATATAAGTCTGATGTTATGTGCAGTGTATTTTGTATAGTGAAAAGCTCATACGGGTTTGTACCCGTATTTTTCCTTCTTCGTGCCCTGAGTCAAATTAACCAAGTTTATTGTAATCGGAACGTAGACTATTTATCCGAGGCCTTCCATTGAATATGTAAAAATGTGCGGAACATGACAGGGCTGATACCGAATAAACCGCGAATATACATAACTATCGCCTCGGTATGATCACAACCGAGAATACACTGCCTATAGATATAAAAGCATGTTTTAATTTAGACATATTAAACCTGTGGAACTTCAACTTCCTGTTAGAATATCGTACTGGCCGAGCTGTTCACAATGGGAATATCTACGGTTAACCTAATGCCGAGTAGGGGGGGGGGGGGGCTACCATATATAACGGATGTGACTAACTTGTATAATAGTCCAGCGGAACATAATTTTCAGATATTATAATACCTTTAATTAGTGTAATTATTGTCGTCTTTACAAGAACTAATTACTAATCGCGTGCGTTATCAATGTCCGTGTGTTCTAACCTGACCATATACGTAATCGTTGTGGTAAACTGGATTGGTTGATACCGGGATAAGAGGAATGTATTCACTTCAGGCGAGCCCTGGGAATTAATCAATTACAACGTAGGAGTTAGGTTTTATTTTTCAAATGTTTAGTCACAGAATTGACAGATAACAAGGTGTGATGATAGAACCTGACCGTTCTGACCGTGCAGGTAAATGAAAAAAGGCTCATAACCATTAGATAACTATTACGCAAATAAAATATTCAGCCTCGTGTACTTGATACAGTTCGATCGTACTCCATAGTAAGTTTTTCTCTACTAGTTAAAATGTATGTCAGTACATAGTATGGGTAGATCAAGAAAACTTAACAGCTTTTCAGTTGAAATTTGAGCTACTTAGTCGTTGTATTTAACGAGGTAAAACAAGTATTTACATGTCTCCAAACAGCTAGCGTGGACTCGTTCTATTGTTTAAATTAAACTTAGGTTGTAACACTATATTATCATTAACTTCTTTCCGCAAACTTTTTTAGAAAGCTAAAATTGACAGTCGACTTTTCTTACACAGTGGTCATACTTCCATTTCACACATAGGTCATACTCTCCGCATTAACGTCATTAAATTATCGTAGCTGTTAATAGGACGTTAAACAAAATAAAACCAAAAAAAATCATGTGTCGGATAGAGGGCTAAGCAATATAAATTTGTCAATATAATAAAAAAATCTTTGCTATGTATATTACCTACGTATTTTCTCAGTGTGCTATAAATAGCAATGATGAAGCCTCGACCGCGACTATCAGAATGTAAACACGAAAGCTGAACACTAAAATAACTATGATACTAATACACAACCAGTACCGAGAAATTCAAGTATGGAAATGCCCATATATGGTCAACTGTATAAGACATAGAGCCCAGATACATTGCGCACAGATAGCACAACATCATACCAGTAACCCTAGCGTCGCTCAATCGTTAGGCGACCTGTGGATCACAGTAACATAAACACGCGTGTTCATAACATCCCGCACGTGCACATGTTTACAATCAGTAAGATCGATTACTAATTATTGATTGAGCTGCGGAACACTATCCAGTATGAGGTGATCGAAGCTTCTAGAGAAACAATTTTATGAGATACCTCATTGGAATATACATGCATGCCTAGTAGGCGCGCTACTGGTTCCATTTTCCTCAGGGTTCTTTAAATTAATTACAGAAATGCCCCTATACTACAAAACCGGTATAGGTTATGTATGTTTACGTGTTACAGTTGAACTGGGTACAATATGTTTTCATGATTATGTGCAAAATATGGCAAGTGAAACAAATTGCTATAAATACACAGAATAAACTAATATTACTTCAGTAATTTACACATGTATGAATATGCTAAACTTTTCATAAGTATATGGATGTGTCATGGTGTGCTACACGAAAAGAATGTGAACTGTGAAAAAAGACAGAATCTCGGTGAGTAAGCCGTGTATATATTTGTAAATAATATTGTAAAAGTCTACCATAAAATATGCATGTGTCATGAAATGATCCATTGGTCAAGTATGAATGTAAACAATGACCGAGATAGAATCACAATAAGTATGCTGTATGTATTTGTAAATAATAGTGTACTTAAATATGCAGGTATGTAAACAATGAAAAGAACAAGTGCATGATAACAGATTGTGAATATGTCAAAATTTTGAAAATATGTGTGTATCTAACACGATGCATTTCCATACGGGAAATAGTAAAAGTATTTTAAGTCCGGCGAGTGTAAAGAATCGTGTGGAATAAGTGTGGACTATTTGAGTTAGTGTGATAGGAAGGATAGAACTGCTTACACCAGTATGTTAATTTATGCACATGTACATGTACATATTGTACAAAACAAAAAGAATGTGCTATTTGTATTACTCTGTATACATGCATCTGAAATTAAATGGTTCTTTGAAAATAGTAACCATTTCAACTACTTCAGGAACAAAGAGTCCAAAGTAATCTCTCATAGTAAGCTGTATGTGCAGAAGTATGTATGTAATAACTATATTCTAATTAGGTATGGGAATGAAATGAATTGCTACATGGAAATTAGTAAACTCCTAAGTAACATGTATTTATGGATGAATATATGTTTGTTTGTTTGATTTGTTTGTTTGATTTTGTTTAACGTCCTATTAACAGCTAAGGTCATTTAAGGACGACCTCCCCTGAGTGCAAGATGCATGCGTGTAGTGTATGTGTGTGTATTTTGGGAGGCTGCGATATGTTCGTGTTTGTCTTCTTGTAATAGCGCGGAAATGATGCCGACTTTATAGTGCTACCTCACTGAAACATACTGCCGAAGACACCCAGCAGGACGCCCCACCCGGTCACATTATACTGACAACGGGCGAACCAGGCGTCCCACTCCTAATTTGCTGAGCGTTAAGCAGGAGTAGAAACTGCCATTTTTAATGAATATATGAGTATTCTACTAATCTATGCATATGAAATGAGTTTAAGTAGTGAAAACAGCAACTTCTTTATAAAGTTGTTATATGAATTGAGGTAGGAGCATGGAAATACTAGTAAATGTTACATGTATAATTGAATTAATCATTACTTATGTGTGTGAATGTAAACAGAGGAAGGAAAAGAGAAATAACGTTTTTATATATTGTATATATGATTCTTTTTATTTCAAATACCCAGTTAAGATTAAAACTGTACCATAGGGTGGGTGCCAGTACAGTATTGTTTAAGATCAGTAAATGTGGTAAAATGAATTTTCACAAAACCAATCGATTAATGTACTGGGATGGGGGAGGGGTATAGATTGCTGTATCCCAATTGATAACATAGTTTACATAACAAACTTCCATGAAAAAATACATTAGTTTTGCTAGTTTAAATGTTAATGGGATGATAAAAAGAGTAATAGAATATTTAATTGGGTCAAAAGTCAAAAATATGATATTGTATGTTTACAGGAGACACATTGCACAGATTTAGATTCAAAATAATGGAATAACAACTGGAAAGATATTGGAGGGGGAAACAGTTGATGGAATAATGGGAAGAACGATTCTAGGGGAGTTGGTATACTTGTTAACAATAGCTCTGACTTTAAAATTTCTGAATATTACAGAGACCAGTGTGGAAGATTGATGGCATGTTAAGTTCATTGTGAACATAAACAAATATATTGTACTGTCCCAATAAAGGAACAGAAAGAAAGGATTTTTTAACATATTTACATATGATTTTAACTGTGAAGTGGATAAAACAAAAGACAGATTTCCTTTACAACCATCCGAGGATGTCGGAAATACACAACTAGTCAACCTCATGATACATACAACACAACTTATCAGACATATGGCAAATACAAAATCCAGATTCATTAAAATATACTTTTTAACGAGGCAGTTCCAAGTCAAGAATTGATTTGATCTTAACAAAAACAATTTAAAGTCTCAAATAAT